CAAGTTTAATGCCAGCTTGTAATGCATAGTGAGACTCTGTCTTTAAAAAAAAACTAAATAAATAAATATCACACAAGAATGACCAATGTTGCTCAGAATACAAGTCATAAGACAAAAAAGAATCCTTATCAAAAAGAAATAGATAAAAGCATAACCTTATCTTCAACAAACTAAGAGAGCTTACTAGTATAAATCAGAAAAATCAGCATAGATATTAAAATATTATTGAAACAACAGAATAGATAATTTAGGGAATTATTTGGACTTCTCCCTACTTCTTATGTATTTCTCTTCTATTCTGATATACATATATATATAATAGTTTCTCATATAAGAGAAACCATGTGATATTTAAGCTTGTGTGTCCTATTTCACCTAACATGTTCTCAAGTTGCATCTATCTGCCTATAAATGCCTCTAGTTCATCTTTTTTTACAGCGAAGTAGTACTTCATTGTATAAATAAAATTTGTATTCCTTACCCTTTCATATATTGATGGACTATGTACTGTTTCCAAGATTTAGATACTATAAATTGTGCTGCTACAAAAATAGGCATGTATGTCCTTGTAATATGAGGGCTTTAACTCCTTTGGTTTTGCTGTTTCTGTTGCTTTTGAAACAGGGTCTCACTTTGTAGTGCACAATTGCCTCACTCTGCAACAAACTCACTCTGCAACTCAGGCTGACCTTGAACTCATGGTGATCCCTTGCCTCAGCCTCCCAAGTGCTGGGATTATAGGCATGTGCTACCATACCCAGCTATTTTAACTCCTCTGGGAAGATTCCTAGCAGAGGGATAGCTGCTCAAATGGAATTTCTATTTTTAGTTTTTTGAGGAATCTCCACACTGATTTTCAAAGTGATTGTGCTAGTTTATATTTCTATCACCAATGTATAAGAGTTCCTTTTTCCCCATTCTTGCCAGCAATGTTATTAATTTTCTGATGACAGCTATTTTTTCTGGGGTAAGATGGTAGCTTTAATTTGCATTTCTCTAATGGCCCGCAATGTTGAAAATTTTTCATGTATTTATTAGTCATTTGTACTTCTGAGAAGTGCCTATTCACTGCAACTGCCCATTTTTTCAACTGGGCCTTTTATTTTGTAGGGTCTAATTTTTTTTTAGTTCTTTACATAGTCTAGATACAAGTCCTCTATCTGAGGATAGATGGTGAAATTTTTGTCCCTTTCTGTAGGTTGTCTTTCACTCTGTTATTTCCTTTGCTGTGGAGAAACTTTTAATGTGGTACAATCTCATTTTTGGTTTTCAGAACTACTTCCTGTGTCATTGGAGTTCTGTTCAGAAAGTTCTTGCATATGCCTATGCCTACGTCCTCAAGCGTCACACTTATTTTATCAAACAGCTACTGAAGTTTCTTTTGGTGTTATTTTGAACTCTTTCCTTATACTTTCCTGATAAAGGACACAATGAAGGCTCCTGTAGTAGATACAGCAAACAGAGAATGTTCCACTAGATATCTGGGGAACCTAAGTCATCAAAACTATTAGAGCACAACCATAAGCCACAAGGAAATGAAATATCTAACGCAAACACGAAAAATATGTCATTCTTCACACATAAAACACCAACATGGAGGAAAATATGCGTATTTTTATAAAAATGAAAAAAGTCCTAAGTACAGATTAAAATCAAGTGAGAACTGTGATCAGCTTTACTATATTGCCATGAATTTTTGCAAGACAAGCTTAATGATGTGATAGGAAAAAATGACAAAGAATATAAAAGATACTCAATCCCTTGCCTTTAGTGATTCAAGTTAACAGGACAGTATGAAGAAGCTGCAAATGGGATTTCTGTTCATGACAATGTAGTAACACTGTAACTGCTTCTTCCAATCAAGGACTTTCTATAGAAACTGAGAGACCCAGCTTCTCCTTCCCTACTAACCCCACTACCTAGGAGCCCCAAGAGCATGCTGAGACCCCTAACTCATATGGAACAGCACTAGGTAAGAGAGAGGTTTTCCTGCAATTGGTCTATCTTCAGTATAGTTACCATGACTGCTCCAGCTACAAAGGAGGCAACTCAGTTTCCTAACGACGGCACCGTGCCTGTATTGGAAAACTGATAAGTACCACTGCTCCTGAGCTGTACCCATAAAAAGACCTGCATATACCCAGTGAAGCCACTCGCACTAACCCTGAGCAGACAGAGTTTCAGCTTTCCTCCTCCAGCGGCCCTCAACAGGAAAGTACTACACAAACCACAGGAGGTCAAAAAGCACGTACAGATCTTGTCTCCAAGAAAAGATTCACAGTAGGGTCCTTCATGTCTCTAGTCAGTAACTCCTGTTCTCAGTTCTACTTCTAGGTTACCACTCTCGTCTGTCTTCCCAGCTCAGGTCTGTCTGTCCTCAGATGTCACATAGATAGAGTGACAGACTGTGTCTTTTGTGTCCATTTTGTCTAAGATGTCAAGTGAGTCTCCTACTCACCGCTACATTTGTGCCATGGAGTATTACACGGTACATCTTCACCACAATTTACCTACCTACTCCCCACTAATGGACAGTTTGGTCACTGCTTCAACTATTACGATTATAGCTGCTATGTGCTTTCTTGAACATGCTTCTGGTGACATAAGCTTTACCTCTTTTGTATATATGCCTAAAGTAGAACTTCCAGGTCACACAGCATGTATACATTCAGCCAAACTTTTTTTTAAATTTTATTTTGAAGAGAATAAAACCAAACAAAATAAAATAGAATAAAGCCAATCAAAACAAAACAGTGACAGTGATACAGAGCTTCAAAACAGGATAACAGGAAATCAACTATGGCTACCATAATGCCTCTTGTTATCTTCCAAATTCCTGCTCATATCATTAGACATAATAAAACTGATCAGAACAGAATACTGAAGAAAACAAAATAATAAAATGGAACAAAACAGTGAGGACAATATTGGATTTCAAAAACAAGGCAGAAGGAAATTCCCCACAGTTGCTATATTACATACTGTTAGCCTCTAAATAGATGCTCAGATTTCTGGCTTTAGGCCTGCAAAGTCAGTCAAATACAAGCATTAAGTTGTTTTTGTACCTTGGTTGCTATCAACTCAGCCTTTGTTCCTCTGAATAAGCCAGTTGTTTGGGGGAGGTGAGGGGTGTCACTTTGTCTCCCAGCCTGCTGGCCATCTGGCCAGCTGGCTCACAGGAAGGGCAAATTGTTAGTCAACTTTTTTTTCTTTTTTTTTGGTACCAGGGATCAAACTCACAACCTTGTTGTGATCAAACTCACAAGGCAGGTGCTTATGCCACTGAGCTAAATCCCTGGCCTTTTAAGAAGTCAAATTTCTTAAAATGGTACTGCTAGTCATATAATTTAGGTGAATGGTATAACGTTAAACACATTTTCATATGAACCATTAAGATACTCTTTTTTTTTAAAGTCCTTGTTCAAATTTTTGTTCATTTTAAAACTTATGTCTTTTTTGATTTATAGAGATTCCTTACCTGATATATATTTTAACTATCTTCTCTCATAATTCAGCTTGCTTTAAGATAGTCTTTTTTCTCATTACATCTTTTTTTTTTTTTTTTTTGTCTTTTTCGTTTTTACCGGTACCGGGGATCGAACTCTCTTTACATCTTTTTAAGACAGGGTCTCGCTATGCAGTTCAGGCTGGCCTTGGGCTCACTGTGCAGCCCAGACTGGTCTCAAATAATACAGTCTTTTGATAAGCAATTTAATTTTAATGATATTTAAATGATCCATTTTTCCTTTGACAATTAATGTGCTATCATTTTAAACAAATTTTTCTACCACAAGAGAGGATATGAAGGTATTTCCATACATCTTCCAAAGCCTGATTTACCTTTCACCTCAACCCTTTTTTCCACTATACATCTGGTCTTCTCCAGACCCTTGCCAAATATGTCTTATTTGAAGCTGTACCATTTGACAGTACATACTGGGATTCATTAAATCATGTTTGTTATTGTGTGCTATTTTTTCTAAAACATATAAACCTGGGTCAAGGATGTATCTCAGCAGCATAGTGCCTGCATGGCAGACTCGAGGCCCTGAGTTTGATTCCTGGTACCAAAAAACAAAACAAAACAAACCAAGAAGAAAAAATATATAAACCTGAAAATAATAAATTATTGCAAATCTGAAAATAATAAATTACTGCAATGACAACAGAACCGCAAGAGTTACCACCTCAGTTTGTAATAACACAACACCCTTTAACACATATGCAGGTATCTCCTATTACCAATACTGAAAGACATTTCAGTATTCCCAAGAAAACAAATGCTGTTATTTTAAGAATTTAGACTAAAATTGAACATACATATTGAGTAGTAAGCATTTCCACTCTTCCTGCAAGTCTTAAGGCATATCTGAATCACGCAATCTCTCTCTTGCTCATGGGCTCAAGAGGCTGAGGCAAGAGGACACCTGTAAGTTTGAAGCCAGCCAGGGCTACATAGTGAGTTCAAGACTAGCCTGAACTACTTAGTGAAACTCTGCCTCAAAAAAAAAAAAATTAAAACAGAAGAACCCAAAAACTACAATAACCCAAGATCCAGTATTCCTTAAACCTTTTTAAACAAATATATACAACCCAGTACTAACAGATATGGAGTTACACTATGAGCTGTTTGAATTTATCTGGCTAGGTGACACTCTCATTCATGAACCTAGCAAAATGGAAACTTAAATCCACCCACTAAATTTACCTATAGTTAGAAAGGAGATATTTCCTGTCTAAATACATACAACAAACTCAGAAAGAAAGTCCAATCTGTTAGGCCTGTGTTCTTGATTACTGTATTAAAATCAAGCAATAACTATATACATTGTTAGAAAAATAAAGCCAAATTAATATTATGGATTGCCTTCACATTATCTAAAAGTCCTATTTTTTTTAAAGCCAATCGTATTTTACCAGATAACAACTAAAACTCATGCCACTCAGATATGTCATGTAGTGCACTGTTTCTTAAAAATACTCAGTAAACCTAGACTTACCTGTCGTAATGGCTCGGTGGAACTGATGCATGTCTTCTCCTGACAGCTCTTGGGCTACCTGTAATATTTTTTGTCTGACGCCATCCAATTTAATTTCTGATTCGGTCAATATTTCTTCCATATCAGGTGCACTATAATCAAGATATTGGGAAATTTTAGAGCATCAGCCAGATGCTTTGACAATGAAAAATTGAAATAATCTAACTATCAATATCAGACTAAGTACTTGTATTTGGGTATTTCTAACTCATCTCTCCAATCATATTTTATTAACAGTATGTAAAAACATGGAAATGTTACAGTATACTGTTAAGTGAAAAAAAGTAGACAAAAATTATATGCATAGAGTGACCACAATTAAAATACAGTATCTCTAGATGTTTATCTCAAGTCAGGATAAAATAGCATGGACTAGATTTGTCCTCCCACTTTAAACAACTAGACAGATAAAACAGACAAAACAAGGGTTTCAGACCCTGAATGAAAGCTGCAAGAACAGTGATGGGGAAGAGGAGCACAGACTCTGTGATTAGTTCATCTTATTGCTTGGCATTCCCAAGTGAAGGTGTGAGAACAGGAAACTTAGGTGGAGCCTGAAGTTTCCCTGAGTTGAAAAGGACTTAGACGTTTTAAGGTTGACAAGACAGCTAAACTTGCAAGGCAAAGTATCAGTAGGGAGAAAACTACACAAAAAACATGTCAGAGTCCTACAAAAAAGACTCCCTAGGAGATGGGGATTTGGCTCAGCAGCATAAGCGCCTGCCTGGCAAGCACAAGGTCCTAAGTTCGATTTTTAGTCCAAAAATACGTAATAAATAAATATCCCCTCTGGTCTTTGACTGAGTATGATCACTGTAGGATGCATATGAGAAAAGAGGCTGAAAAAGATCCTGCCCCAAGCAGAAAGGCAGAGCAATTCCTATCACCTACAGAACCAAAGAGAGCTAACTCATCACCAACAACGATTGTTTTAAGAAAATGGCAGACAAGCCAAACATGGAGGCAGTCACCAGTTTAGACAGAGATGCAAGAGAAGAATACCTTAGCAACCAAAGAGACCACTGGGCAGGAAAAGCAGAGTGAAAGATCCTAGAGTGTGCCCAAACACCCCATCCATAACATGGAGGAAGAGTCATCTAAAAGAGGGACACTAATCACAAACTACATCCTGTACTCAGGCACTCGTCACAGATGCCACCGGCCTATAGAGCTCTGAGAGATCCCCTAATCGGACTGCCAAATTCCCTGATTTTGTCTGTGATATTACGGAAAATTATTTGTATTTCTATGATACATCAAAAATAGGAAAACATCATCAAACATACATAACATACATACATAACATACATCAAAAATAGGAAAAAATAAATCACATATATACCAGTGAAATAAATATACATCTCAAGAAAATTTAAAAAGAATTCAAAGCATAAAATATGTTCTGTGGCCATAATGAAAATAAATTAGAAATCATTATCAGAAAGATATCTGATAGCGCAAGCCTGAAATCCCAGTACTCAAGAGGCTTAGGCTGGAAGAATGCAAGTTTAAGGCCAGCCTGGGCTATACAGAGGGTTAAAGGTTAGTTTAGACATACAGCAAGACCTCATCTCAAAAGAAAAAGGGAAAGGAACAAAGGAGGGAATGAGGAAGGGAGAAAAAGGAAAAGAAAAAAGGAAACAAATCTCATTTTAGAGAGGTTTAAAAACGAAAAGGTTAAACCAAGAGATGGGGCGAGAGGGGAAGGAGTAGAGAAAAAGGGGGAGCAAAAAAAATTATGATGTATTATGTACATGTACCAACTCCCTATGATGAATGTAATCATTATGTACTACAAATACACCATTAAAATTTTTTAAACTAAAGAAGGCTAGATCAAAAAATTCTACAAAAGGGGCTGGGGATTTAGCTCAGCGGCGTAAGCGCCTGCCTTGCAAGCAGGCAGTCGTGAGTTCGATCCCCGGTACCAATTAAAAGGAAAAAGACAAAAAAAATTCTACAAAAAAAGAAAATGTTATCAAGTATCACATTCTGGTTAATCTATGTATGGCAAATTGCTTCCACTTAAAGAAACAAAATTAAAGCATTAGTGAATTATCTAAAATAGTTTAAGTTACATCTAGAGGTATATAGTGGTACGTACTTCGGTTCACAAACTTAATTCGTTCCATGATTCTGGTTGCAACCCAATTGAATGAGAAGTGAATCAAATTTTCCCCTAAGATCAACATTGATCCTAACCACTGAATTTGATTCCATTCTTGTCCAATTCGGTTTATAATCAGAATCACAGAAAGAATTAAATTCATGAACCAAGGTACCACTGTAATTCATGTTAGAATGCTTGCCTAGACATGTGCAACGCCATAGGTTTCTCAGCACCAAAAAACCCAAGTCTTAGGCCAGAAATGGTGGTACACACTAATAACCCCAGCAATTAGGCAGAGGCAGAATGTTCCATGCAAGTTCAAGGCCAGCCTGAGCTATCTACTGAGTTCAAGGTCAGTCTGAGGCACATTTTAACACCCTGACTTAAAAAAACCAAAAACAAAAAGTTTTAAGTTACTGAATGAATACATGGCACAAAGTCAATCATAGTTACATTTCTAAAGGCATCTAGAATTTGTAATTAGAATCTCTTGGGAACAAGACCTAGACACGTAAGTTAGAGAGTTGTAGGGCAGACACCTATCCCACAGTGCACAGAGAAGCAACAGGAGCTAGTCACATGAAATACAAGTACAAAGCAACAAAAGATGTCACAATAAAATAACAAAAATAGCTCCACTCATGAAATATGCCTGAATCTATATAATCTCTGTAATTCAATTCCCTGTTCTGCTTAGGCAGCTTAACGTAGTTTCTTTTACTTGTAGTCAAAACCTAGATGGACAGCCTACCTGCATGGACAGCCTGCCTAGATAGACAGCCCGCCTGCATGGACAGCCTGCCTAGATAGACAGCCTGCCTGCATGGACAGCCTGCCTAGATGGACAGGCTCCCTAGATGGACAGCCTGCCTGGAAAATCAAGACAGTCTAGTGTGAGTGAGAGAAATAAATGGAAAAAAATGTCAGAGATGAAAGAAGAACAACTTCCAAAGAGGAATTAGGTAGTTAATAATATTTTAAAGTGAAAAAATGTAAATTAAGAAAATAGCACAATGTGTATAAGATTTAAGGATGTGAAAAAGTAACACGACCAATTTCAATAGAGGCAAGCCCAGCATGGTGGCGCACGCCTGTCATCCCAGCACTTAGGAGGCTGAGCAAGGTGAATCCTCGTGAGTTCAAGACCAGTCTAGGCTATCTGGTGAGTTCAAGGTCAGCCTAGACTACACAGCAAGACCTTGTTTCAAAAAGCCAAAAAAAAAAAAAAAAAAAAGAACACAATGAGTTAAAAAATAAGTAAGTTAACTAGATTTTAATATTTATGTAATAGGAGCTGGGGATTTAGCTCAGCGGCATAAGCACCTGCCTTCTTGCATGCAGGCGGTCATGAGTTCAATCCCTGGTATCGATTTAAAAAAAAAAAAAAGAAGAAGAAAAAAAATTTATGTAATATTAAAATTTTCATATATATCACCCAAATAAGACTTTAATGTCATGACACTAATAAATAATCCAAATCTTATTTTTTCAAACAACAGCTGAACCATAATAACACAAAATCCCTAGCTACTTCAAAAATAAGAATTTTTTCCACTTATTTTTATTAAAATATTTGACACAGGTTGAAGATGTATACTCACCTTGTAATCCTATGGAGGAGAAAAATTGTCCTTTTACTTTCAACAGTTATATCCCGGCTGAGCTTCACAAGCCTCTCGTATTTGTCATGCCTCGCATCCAGCTCCTGCTGAAACGCTAAACACACACACAGTCTTCACTCCACACTCCCACATAAGATGCAGACTGTTCAGCTCAAGGAGAACGCTGACAATGGCTGCAGTCAGCTGCCTCCATTTAGGGCAGAACATGCTGCTCATGACACTAATTCTCAAAACACAGAAAACTGAACAGTGTCCTCTAGTAGTTTTCTACAAATACCAATGACATACCCAGAAACACGTAATTCCTGACTCTGTGATGGTTTGTAGAATATTTGCAAATTGCATTTATAGTAGTGCTATTGTATTAAAATGAAATATAAAGGTCTTTAAATAAAAGTGCAGATTTTATTCCAGTTTTTTCCCACTTCTTACATATTCAGTAACACTAATCCATCTAGAGATAATATATAAGTACATGATATTTTACCACTTAGAATACAGTATTGAATACAAACTGTTAAATAGTAGACAAACACTGAACTATTTTAAGACAGTAAAGAGGGAAAACAAATTGAAATTCATAACCATTCTGTAAGCTGGTTTTCTTGTAACTAACTAGATGACTAGATCATAGAATACTCTGTAATCAATACAAAGTTGTAGCAATTCGTCTGAAAATGATCAGTAAAAGATTTCAGTAAGGCCCACTACAGTGTCACATGCCTATAATCCCAGTTACTCAGGAGATTGAGGCAGAAAGGTTTCCAGTTTGAACCTAACACAAGTAATTTATGAAGATCCTGTGTCAAAATTTGAAAATGAAAAGGGCTGGGCATGTGACATGTAGGAAAGGTCCAGAGTTAAATTCCCATACAAGACAATAATGCAAAAGCTTTAATAAGGCTTGGAATAGGTCAGTCAAAAACAGAAAAGTCAGAAATCAAAGAGGAGAAGGGGAATAGGTGAAAACTAGAAAGTGTTTCCAAGAAGGAAAAATTAAACGTAGGCTGTGATATCCACTTAGCTTATACATTATCCTTAATGTTCAGCACGAATGCATAGAAATCTCCAAGCATGGTGGTACATATCTGTAATCCAAGTACTTGGGAGGCTGAGGCGACTGTCAAGAGAGCTAGGCCAACCTGGCTACACAGTGAGTTCAAAGCCAGCCTGCACTACATAGTGACAGCCTGTCTCAAAATTTAACTAAAAAAACAAAAACATAGTGAGTTCAAGACCAGCCTGAAAAAATAATAAAAAAATAAAATACATGATGTGACGTTTCAATATATAGGGTCTATCAAAAAAGAAACTGTACTGCTTTGAGCTTAGACACAAGATTATGGTTTTTGCCTGCTAGGGGAAGCCAGATGCCACACACAAGGAAAATCAAGCAGCACTATGGAGAACAGAGATGGCTGTACGCAAGAAGGTCTAGACTGCCAGTGTCTGGGGTACCTCCTCTTCATTCCAACATTCAGATAACTCCAAGTCAGAACTAATCACGCATCTCCCATATTGCTGAACTACAGATACAGGGGAGTAGAGGTGGAAAGAACCTGTTTTTATGTTTTGGTTTGTGTTGTTTTGTTTTGGTGGTGGTGGTTTTAGTTTGTTGGGGTTTATGGTTTGGGTTTTACGAGAGTCTGCTTATGTATTTCAGGCTGACCTTGAACTGACAAGTGATCCTCCTGCCTCCACTCCCAAGAGTTAGGATTACACTCATGCGCCACCTCGCGGTTTTGAAATGGGAAAAAAGTTACCACCTCAATAGGCTATGAAAATGGAGACTACAGAGATACATGTGCACATCTGTAAGATTTATTGAGTTACCAGTCTGCAAAGTGCTATGTCAAAACATCTTCAAGTCTAGTTAACAAAACTAATACACCTTCAATATAAATATGTATAAGAGTAAATGGTAGACACACAATATCGGGCACAGAACAACACGCCATGTCTAATAGTTAACTTATATTCAAATATTACCTATGTGAAACTAATATTTACCTGTCTACTTTAATGTTAATATTTACTTGAAGAGGATATAAAGGTTAAGGCCTTTGGAAGTCAGACTTTCAGGGAAGATCTAGCACATAATATTCACTTAATATGCAAGAAAGTAAGATTTCTTTCTGAATACCCTAAATTCCTAAGGATTGTTTTCTTAGGAACAGCGTATCTACGAAATTGCTGTTACAGCCTTTAGCTCTCCCCTTAGCTAACTGACAACATGGAGAACTTACATTTGAAGGCCAACATCACGGGAGAAGATGAATTAACATCCTTCCCGTCTCTTCTTTGGTTATGGGGGAAGTTGTCATGCTTCCTCTTCCTGAACCCTCCTGACCCTTATGGAGAAAAAAAGAAAAGCTGGGCAGGTATGTTCCATCATCACTGAGTTTGCACAATCTTCCTTTCCTTGAAAACCTGACACACGCACGCGCGCGCACACACCCCGGGCGGGCCGTAGAGGCCTCCGGCACAGAATGACAGCACAAGCGATCCTGTCTACACTGACCAGCCAGGCTTCTAACGCAGCCGTGACCTACACAGAAGCAGCAGTTACCAAACTGGATGAACGTACAGCTCCGACACTTAAGAAATCAGGGATGCAAAGAAAACCAATCGGACGGGGAAGCCCCAGAGCCGCCCTGAGCGTGCAAGGAGAGAGGGCACCTCTCAAGGATGAGGAGGGGACGCTGCACAAAAAGCTGGAGAGCCCCTAATTGCGCGAACACCGCCCCGCGCCGCCGGGGACGCCACCTTCTTTGCTGCTCATGTCGGGTTGGCCTCCGCTGAAACGCTCGGACAATGAAGGCGCCGGAGCGAAGGGAGCGCGGGGACCAGCCCCCGGCCACCAAGCGTAGGAGGGCCGGCTAGCGGACGACGTCACCACACGCCGGAAGCAAGCGAGCGCTGCGCTGCCCCAACCCGCACACCTCCGGCCGCCTCCGGGCGCCGGACCGACCCCTGGGCTGCGCACACTTCCGGCTCCGCCGCCGGCTCGCTCCCCCAGTGGCGCACACTTCCGGCCCGAACCCGCGTTCCGGCGCGCTCCCTGGGTTGCGCTCACTTCCGGCCTGGGCCGCGCATCCTTCTGTGCAGGTCCCGGCTTCCCCGCGCGCTGGGTCCTTGGCGGTCACTCGGCCTCTGCGGACCCTGTGGCAGGCGACCCAACCCTCGCGGCGCTCTGTGTGACATCCGGCTACCCTGGCGGACTGCGGAGTCTGGAGCTTTTGCGGTCCTAAGTGGCAGGGGTGCGCGGGCAGGGAGGACGAAGCCGTCCCGTGCACCCTTCCTCCTGCGCCACTGTCCTGGCTCTGTCCGGCTCGGGGTTAGGCTACGCGTGGATTCGCCTCCACAGCGTAGCTGACCTGTAGGATGAGAGTAACTAATATCCACCTTGTGGGGTAAGGATTGGTTTATGTTGGGCTCACAGAGAAACTTTGGTCCAAAAGAGAGTTACAGCAGTCATAAGGATAGGTGTGCATTGCTTGTTAGGAGTCTTACTATACACAGGTACCACCTTTCTTTACTAGACCACATACGTGCTAGACCCAGAGACTTGTAGTACTGCGCCCCAACCCCGTACCCATGTGTAAGTGTTTGTAGACCGAATGACAGTCACGTTCTCAGGATGAGCAACTAAGTGACAATTTAGCACCCTTTCGAGACAAACAGAGGCCGAATCTTGGTAAAATTGGGTCACTTCCTTATCTTAGATATGTGTTGTACACAATCTTTCCGCTTTGTTAACTTAGAAACAAAGGGACAGTAAATGAAATCACCTGGCCAGAGTGTGGCAGTAATTTCAGGAGCAGGAGTGTTACAGGAAGGTTTTCTGCTCTGCTTGATGTTTAAAGTGTCTTCCAAACTCCAAAAGGAGGAAAGCAAGCACTACCCATTGCACTTTACAGGCTGTGTCCATATGTGGATTGATTAGCCAAATCCTTGATTATGGTACACTCCTGGAGACTTAGGTTATTGAGCACATAACTCACTTGAGTGCGTGTGACTTCTGACCTTGTTAATATCCAGCAGTATTTCCTTCTGTGTACTTTAATCAAAGATAATATGTCCATGCCAAACAGGACAACACTCATAAATTTTTTTTCCTGTAGCTTCCTCTACATTTCAGGAAGGTGGTAGTTATGAACATTTTTGGTCAGTGCTTATTTTACCAGAATCTTAGAAAAGTGTTTTTCCTGACTCCTGAAATACACAGCAGCTCCCAAGGTATGTAACTTTTCAAAACTTGGATCACATAAACTTTTTTTCAGCCACCTCTTCCTTGGCCTGTACAATTACAGCTTTGTTACCTGAACTACTCATTGCTTCCCATAAATGTAATTAGGATACTAATAATCTAAAATGACCTCTCATTGTAGGGTGAGTAGGTGAATCTCCCATGCTTTCCCAGCACTTATTTGCATATACACTTCCCCGTCCTTTCCTATCCCAGCCATAGCCATGCTTTTGCTGGGAAACATCTTCCAACCTCTGTGACAACCTGCAGGATGAATTTGTACACTATCTCCTTATACTATTGTTTTGGGTAAAAATACATAGTGCTAGTACTTTGTAAAACTTTTGTTTTTAAAAGATCAGAGAGAGGAAATAAATGCTTTTGTAAGACCTTGCCTCTGGAATGCTGTTCCTTCTATTGTGTTCCAATTACCCATATTTGACTCTGATTAAAGCTCTAAGCCTTTCAGTTGCACCTGTTGTTATTCAGTGAATAAATCCTCATTTTGGTCACCTTTATAGGAAAAATATCACATATCAACGTTGGGTTTAGATATTGAAGGGAAAATGTAACCAAATAAGCAAAGAAATGTAGGCCTTCAAGAGACTGTTTCAGCATTTCCCTTACGTAGTAGTTATTACATCAATTGGAGATGGGGGTTATAGAATATTGCCAGAATCTTGAGTGATCTTTTTCATTTTATGATTATGGAAGTACTGGGGATCATGCACATGTTAAGCAGGTGTTGTACCACTGGTCTACATCCCCAGCCTTTGAGTGACCTTTTCTTTTTTTGGTCTTTTTGAGACAGTCTCACCATGGTTCAGGCTGACCTTGGGCTCACCCTGTATAGCCCCGGCTGGTCTTGAAATTGCAGTGATCCTCCTGAGTTCTGGGATTACAGGCATGTGCTACCATGCCTGGGTTGAGTGACCATTTTATAAAGATAACCATAATAGTTAGAAACTACTGATGGGATCCAGAGTGAAGCATGCACATATCAATTCACAAGTTTAGTTTTCAAGCAATGCTAGGATATAGATGAAAAAATATTTCTAAGGATACAATAAGAAGCTGATATTTGAGGAACTAAGTAATGGGCAAAACCTCACTGAAGTATCATTTTATATCCCTTAGGATGCCTGTAATGAAAATATAGTTGGTGAAGATAATGAAAAAGTGAAACTCATCATTGGTAGAAATGTTAAGTGGTGCAATCACTGTAGAAGACAGTTTGGCCCCAGCAGTTATACTCTTACACTTAGAGCTCCTTGAAGAAATGACAGCAGCCACAAAACTAGTATTTAAGCACAGCGTTCTAGACATATGCAGTAAATCAAGTTCACTCACTGTGGTGTTCACATGTGCTGTATCTTTACTGGTCCAGAAAGATTTTTTTGTCTGCTGAATTTTTCAGTTACTCAAGGAAGTATATGGAAATGTATCAGTGTGTATTTTTCTATAATCCTAATACTGAGGAGACTGAGGCAGGAAGATTGCTGTGAGTTCAAGGCCAGCCTGAACTAAACAGTTTTTTTGAGACCCTGGCTCCAAAAGTCATTAAAACAGGAACTTCTTTACCCTTAGTAGCAGTTTTCATTTTAATTTGCTAGGCATAATAGTACATGCTAGCAATCCCAGCTACTCAGGAGGCAAAGGTAGGGAATCTCAGGTTCAAGGCCAGTCTGGGCAATTTAGTAAGACCCTATCTCAAAGAATAAAGGTAGAAAGGGCTGGAAGTGTAGCTCAGTGTTAGAGTGCATGCCTAACGTGAATAAAGCCTGGGTTTAATCTCCAGTACTGCAATCAATCAACACTAGTCAAGTTTATGTATACTGATAGTAGTAATCCACATTCTTTAATGTCAGGGTTTACACCATACACCTACTTAATCTTTTAATCTTCCATACTTTTATAGTCTACATAGATTACTCACAAAAAGTATACAGTTGCTAGGTGCAGTGGTGCACACCTGTAGTCCCACCTACTCAAGAGGCTGAGCAGGAGGATCCCTTGAGCCTAGGGGTTCAAGGCCATCTTGAGGAACATAGAACCTGCCTCTAACAAAAAACATAAATCTGGGATTTCTTCTTGTATTCAGTGCTACAACCAGTCCTCACTGTGTGGTCACGCTTGCAGGCAGAAACCTCATTTTAGAAGTTAAATGCCTGATAAGAGCACAGTCTTTTTGTACCTTGAAGGAAAGTGGGGAAAAAACTACAGTGAACAGAAGAAAAACTCAGTCTATCTGCTGCTTTGCAGGCAGCACCTCCGTCTAAGGATGGAGCGTGGGCTGGCTGGAGGGCATGGCTGGAAGTGTGGAAAATGGGAACTGTTGGACTGGATGGACCACATCACAGACAGTATCAATTAGGCCTGAGTCTGTGAAAAACTAGTGCAAAACCTTCATCATTTTGGACAGGAATTAGCTAGCATGAACAAATTCAGTTCACTCTGCTAATCTTTATACCATTTTCAATGGATTTCTTCATTTTTGTTTTTGTTTTACAGTATTGGGCATCAAATTCAGGGCCTCCCACATGCTAAGCTTTACCACTGAGTGATAGCCCCTATCCCAGATTTTTTTTATTTCTGCATTCAATTATCTTTATCTGAAACATTTCACATGTGAGTATTTCAAAGTGCCATTTTAACTAGGATCATCACTTTGGTTAGTAAATAAAAGTGTTTGTGCTTCTAAAAAAAATAAGAACTATGCCATTGTCTTCAGGTTTCCATTGTGTTGAGTCTAATTTTCAATCGAATTATGACTATTGTCTTTATTGATGCATATTTTTGGAGCTGAGTGTGATGATGCATGCCTGTAATCTCAGCACTTGGAAAACAAGCTGGAGAATTGCTGTGAGTCTGGGGGCAGCCTGGACTACATTGCAAGACCTTTTCTCAAAGCAAAAACAAAAGCATCCAAAAACCAAGGCACGGGGGTGCACACTTGTAATCCCAGGCCAGCCTGGGCTACATAGACTGCCTCAAAACACGCATACACACACCAAAAAAAAAAACACATATTTTTGGAATGCTTTTAGTTTTGTTTTGGCCATTTGAAGTAGGTAATAGAAAAAAATAGAATAGTAAGTACTTTTATTCTTCAGTCCCTCCATAAGTTACTACTCTTTGCTTATAACAGGCTTTCAGGAAAGGAAGACAGGGGAAACACATTTTAAAAATGTCAATTTAAATTACTTAAATGCATTACATGTTTAAAGAGATTACATTATGTCTTGTAATTTGAAATAATTCTCAAATTATATAAAATGAATTAAACAGAAATATCTACTGTTCGTTTTCAAAAACCATAAGTTTCCTGTATTTATAAATTTTTAAAATTGTTTTTACCACAGTGTGGGGTTGTTAACACTTTTTTAAAAAAAACTAGATTGGGAGCTGGGGATTTAGCTCAGTGGCATAAGCGCCTGCCTTGCAAGCAGGCAGTCATGAGTTCCATCCCCAGTACTGATAAAAAAAAGAAAAAAGACAAAAAAAAAAAAAACCAAAAAAAACAGTGGATTGTATTTGTGTAGCAGAGGTCTTTGTAGTCTGAATTTGGTTGAGTTCACTCCCACGTGATTATTTTCTTCAAGCCCTTTCAGTGTATTTTTACACTGAAATTCTCAGAGGGTTTGGTTTGGTGTGATTTGAGTTTTGAGACTGGGTTTCACTAAGTAGTTCAGATTGGCCTTGAATTTGCAGTAATCGGTCTACCTCAACCTTCTGAGTACTGAGAT